CCCGTTCAATTCAGTATGATAGGAGTTATGTATTTTTGTATCCTTTTGTCTTTTACTGGGAACATGTGCTCAATGGAGCCTGCCTCTATCCCTGGATAATTGGATTATTTTCCCCAATGTCTCCAGGATAGAGGGCTCTGTAAAACCGGTTTGCTGCCAGCCAGGCCCCAAAAGATACTTTACTAACTTCTGAACCCCTGGTCTGATTCATGCCATGTTTTGATATGTTGTTTCCCTGAATGAATTGATTGTAAATATATAATTTTTATGTGAATGTGATGTATATTTTAGAAGTTATGAATATGCTGTAAAAACTGTATTTTTCCTACCTGTGATAATTGCATCTTCTATTGTATAAGATAATTGAATCACAGGCAGAGGGGAGGATTTTGTGTGGGCTGTAACCTCTGTTTTATTGGCTACGGTAGATAACGTGTGTGTCCCTCCCCTGCATGGGAGCAGGGCATAAAAGAAACTGTAGCTTGAATACCTGTTGTTGTTGCTTCCAGTAAAGTCTTGTTCCAGCATTAAGCTGTGACGAGACCAATCTCGCCACATTGCATTGGAGAAGTCTATTTGCCAGCCTCCTTCCACATGACTATGGCCCCTGGGAGATGGTGAAAACGTATGCACTTTTATTGGGTGTGTATGGCCCTTTAAGACAGTCAGTGGGCATATTGTGGCTTATGGACTCTTTATGGGACTGGTGCTGGCCCTTTAAACACCTTTTTGGGTCATCAGGAAGATTGGGACACTGCCCCTTTAAGACGGTGTCCCCAGACTTGTTTGGGACACTGCCCCTTTAAGACGGTGTCCCCTGTGTCCCCAGACCTGGTTAAAACTCTTTGTGCCTGGCTATTTCCCACTTGGTTCAGTAAATGGGGCTTACTGAACCAAGTACCACACAGGCAGACTACCCAGAAGTGGAAGTGTGCAGGCAATTTACCTCCCAGAAGCTGCGGTTAACCGCAGCTTAATTGACAATGCTGGGTGGCCTTTGTTCGTTTGCCGAACACGTGGCGGCGGCCATCTTTGTTAATGCGAACGAGGTCAGCGATATGTGTAGCCAAATTCATGGAACTAAAATCGGCTACACATTTCCGCGAACACCGCTGAGCCCTACCATCTCCCATACTGATTTTACAGCTGCAGAGACTAAGTCCCATTCAGCGATGGGACTTAGTAGTTTTTCAGCCTGAAATAGACCGGCCGCACAGCCCAAATCTATGGAACTGTTTTGGGCAGGAAAATGTGCTTGCGGTCGGTCATAAAGGGACCTCCAGCTAACTTTTTAACCCCTGGATGGATTTGTCTGATTTTTGGTTATGTTTATGTTTAAAGTGTGCTGATTAATAATATGTAATTTATGAAGATTAGATGTGTAGTTTTAAAGTTACAGTGTATGGATAAAAACTGTATTCGTGTGGTCTGAGCGCCATTCGCTTAATAATGTGCGCTCAGACCTGGGCTATCTGGGGATATGTTAAATGTATAGTTTTTATGTAATGTGTCTTACATAGTGTATTTTAATAGTAATTCGTGTTTAATATCCCCACGTGCATAATGGCGATTTGCCTTTGTCTTGGGAGATAATTTAATTACTTCTCAATTATCTCCAAGGCAGAGGGGAGGAAGCCAGGATGCATTGTGGGAATATAATGTGACTGTGTGTCCTATTTGTCTACTTGTCTGTCTTTTGTCACAGTCTCCCATTTGGTCCCCAAGGGGAGTGTCCACCAGGTGGGAGACCTGCATAAATACTGGGCAGGTAGCCCTCATTAAACAGACCACTGCTTGACCCTCAACACGGAGCCTTGTCTCGTCTTTGGGGAGATTTACTGAATGCTGATAGAGACTGATTGCTAGGAGTGTAAGCCGCTTGGATGCTTTTCCTATTCGTCTGCTAGCAGCGATTCGTATGGTTCCAGTTCGTGTGTTTGGAGTGTTACATTGTATGCCGTTCGGGAGTTTGGAGCATTCCCTTATTTGTGGTTCGTGGGTTTGGTGTTCTACAGTAGCTGTGCCTGCATCTCTGGAAAGGGGGACGATCGCCTAAACGGTGTTTACCCCTTGTGTGCAAAACGGTCAGTTACATAAGCCTTGGCTCATGTTTGGGGGATTGGAAAACTACACTCTGGGGATTGCTATAACTCTTGCAATAGCTTGATTTGTTCCTGCTACGCACTCTGGATTTAGGAGAGGTTCACCCACTGGGAGCTGAATCCTGGTCGTGGATCCAGGGTGGGTGGAGACGGCGAGACCCCGGCGCAGCTGTATCGCTGGAAGTGGGGTCTGCAGTGCTGATGGTGTCGGTTGGAGTGCTTGGAGTCCTCAGCGAGCACTAGGCACATCGATTGGCGGAGGTACTCAGTTGGAGTGCCAGCGTTCCGTCACAGGCGGCAGTTACTTACTATGGCTACATCTGTTTACTATGGCTGCAGTTACTTACTATGGCTGCAGTTACTTACTATGGCTGCCGTTACTTACTATGATGGCAGTTACTTACTATGGCAGCAGTTACTAACTATGGCAGCAGTTACCTACTATGACTACATCTTTTTACTATGGCTGCAGTTACTTACTATGGTGGCAGTTACTTACTATGGCTACATCTGTTTACTATGGCTGCAGTTACTTACTATGACTACATCTGTTTACTATGATGGCAGTTACTTACTTACTATGGCTGCAGTTACTTACTATGATGGCAGTTACTTACTACGGCTGCAGTTACTAACTATGGCAGCAGTTACCTACTATGTCTACATCTGTTTACTATGGCTGCAGTTACTTACTATGGCTGCCGTTACTTACTATGACTGCCGTTACTAACTATTGCTACATCTGTTTACTATGGCTGCCGTTACTTACTATTGCTACAGTTACAAACTATTGCTACATCTGTTTACTATGGCGGCAGTTACTATGGCTGCAGTTACTATGGCTACATTTGTTTACTATGGCTACATATGTTTACTATGGCTGCAGTTACTATGGCTACATATGTTTACTATGGCTGCAGTTACTATGGCTACATATGTTTACTATGGCTACAGTTACTATGGCTACAGTTACTATGGCTACATCTGTTTACTATGGCTGCAGTTACTTACTATGGTTACAGTTACTATGGCTACATCTGTTTACTATGCGGCAGTTACTATGGCTACATATGTTTACTATGCGGCAGTTACTATGGCTACATATGCTTACTATGGCTACAGTTACTATGGCTACAGTTACTATGGCTACATCTGTTTACTATGGCTGCAGTTACTATGGCTACATATGCTTACTATGGCTACAGTTACTATGGCTACATATGCTTACTATGGCTACAGTTACTATGGCTACAGTTACTATGGCTACATCTGTTTACTATGGCTACATCTGTTTACTATGGCTACAGTTACTTACTATGGCTGCAGTTACTTACTATGACTACATCTGTTTACTATGATGGCAGTTACTTACTATAACTGCAGTTACTTACTATGGCTACAGTTACTTACTATGATGGCAGTTACTTACTACGGCTGCAGTTACTAACTATGGCAGCAGTTACTTACTATGTCTACATCTGTTTACTATGGCTGCCGTTACTTACTATGGCTGCCGTTACTTACTATGACTGCCGTTACTAACTATTGCTACATCTGTTTACTATGGCTGCCGTTACTTACTATTGCTACAGTTACAAACTATTGCTACATCTGTTTACTATGGCGGCAGTAACTATGGCTGCAGTTACTATGGCTACATTTGTTTACTATGGCTACAGTTACTATGGCTGCAGTTACTATGGCTACATCTGTTTACTATAGCGGCAGTTACTATGGCTGCAGTTACTATGGCTACATTTGTTTACTATGGCTACAGTTACTATGGCTGCAGTTACTATGGCTACATATGTTTACTATGGCTACAGTTACTATGGCTACAGTTACTATGGCTACATCTGTTTACTATGTCTGCAGTTACTTACTATGGCTACATCTGTTTACTATGCGGCAGTTACTATGGCTGCAGTTACTATGGCTACATTTGTTTACTATGGCTACAGTTACTATGGCTGCAGTTACTATGGTACATATGTTTACTATGGCTACAGTTACTATGGCTACAGTTAATATGGCTACATCTGTTTACTATGGCTGCAGTTACTTACTATGGCTACATCTGTTTACTATGCGGCAGTTACTATGGCTACATATGCTTACTATGGCTACAGTTACTATGGCTACAGTTACTATGGCTACATCTGTTTACTATGGCTACAGTTACTATGGCTACATATGTTTACTATGCGGCAGTTACTATGGCGGCAGTTATTACTATGGCTGCAGTTACTATGGCTATATCTGTTTACTATGGCTGCAGTTACTTACTATGGCTGCAGTTACTTACTATGGCTACATCTGTTTACTATGGCTACAGTTACTATGGCTACAGTTACTATGGCTACATCTGTTTACTATGGTTACAGTTACTATGGCTACATCTGTTTACTATGGCTGCAGTTACTTACTATGGCTACATCTGTTTACTATGGTTGCAGTTACTATGGCTACATATGTTTACTATGGCTGCAGTTACTTACTTCGTCCCCTTTAGACTTAACAATTCTTCATTGTTGTCACATTGCTTTAACCCATTTCTTGTCCTTGTACAACACATTGTAATGTGTCATTTCACAGAGATACATTCTAATGTGTCATCCATGCAACATTACACTTCCAGATTTTAGCATCACAATTTATGGAGCTAGTCAATATGCTTATCTATATCTATTCCAACACATTGCCCAGTCAGTACTGTGCCCTCTTGTGGTTTCATTTTACATGAACATGCCTTATATAGTGCTAGTGAGTTCTTGGTATCTACACTTGGCTCATATTTGACTATCTCTGTAAGCCTAGATCTTTCTATTATACACCTGTTTGCAGCCTTGCGGTCTGCATGTTAGTGTCACATTCACTGACGGTACTTACTTGTCCTAGGACATCCACAACGACCTGGAGGTCAGTCTGCAGTGGTTATAGTGCCTGTGGTTGCTGCATCCCAGTCTGCATCCTCCGTACCTCGATTCACAAACAGGAAACTCAGAGTGATTGCTCCAGCATTCCAAGATTGCAGCCGCTGTATGAGAAAACTGGTCTGCAAGTCAGAGGTTGGAGGTGTGGCTGAGGGGCAGAGCCAGGACAACGATGCATCCAAGATGGGGCTGTGTCCCACACTCAGGTAACCCCTCCTACAGGTGAGACCAGGTTATGTGATGCCCCTGCTGCAAAGGAATTTATGTAAAACAAAGTATTCGTGCATTTAAAGCAATGTAAGAACCAGAATTGGCTGACATACAGTAAGTCGGATCAATGAAAACTACAATCATGTAAGCAGCACCTTTTGGAAATACTGGCTGTTACAAAACAAACCTTTTAAGGATAAACATACTCGGACAGCAGCACTAGTAAAGGAGGCTCAAAATTATCTTAACGGCAAATAAATTATCTTTTTTAAATGTTCTTTTGTAACCTTTTTTTTAAATGTATCTTTTTTAAACTTTAAAGAACTATTATTAGAAATCTAAATTACACAAATTACAAAATTCACATCTATGCATCACAACTAAATCAAATAGCACACTGAGTGCAGTCTGTTCCTTCAAATATCTATGTATGTTGTTAGACTGCAATCTATCTTTTGGCCTCCACATTGAAAAACTCTCATCAAAACTTTATCCAAAACTATGTGCCATGTACAGAAACAAATCCTGCCTAAGCCCCACAGTAAGGAAACAGATTGTACAGCAAATACTAATGCAGGCCATTGATTATAGGGATGTAGTGTATGCACCGGCACCACAAACCCACCTTAATAAACTTAATACACTGTATATGCCACTATGTGCTGCAATGTAATTACACGACCCACCATGGTAAACCCACCATGTGGCATGTTAAAAGAGCTAAATTGGTTGTCACTAGAATCCAGACGCACCCTTCATCTTTCCAGCCTTGTTGTTAAGAGCTTTTCTGGGAAGCTCCCACCCTACCGGAGTAGAATGATCTCCCCAGCTGTTCCCACCTCCTATAACCTCCGATCCAGTACCAGCACTTTATTTAATCTACCGCAATACAAAAAGAAAGCGGCTCGGTCCTCCTTTTCCTACAGAGCACCGCAATTATGGAACGACGTCCAACACACTTTCAAATCTTCCCCAGGCCTAAAATCCTTTAAGAGATCCCTCTCTACATATCTCAAAACAGAATGCATCTGTCATGGTTGATTATATATTTCCTACCTGTTCTATGTTAAATTATGTATATGTTGTGTATTAATATTGTTTTTGTATTTTATTTTACCCTATTGTATCAATGCAATGTTTTGTGGACCCAGGACATACTTGAAAAAGAGAGAAATCCCAATGTATCTTTCCTGGTAAAATATTTTATAAATAAATAAATACATTGTACTTTTTTATAAAATAAGGTACTAATTTATCCATTTACACAAAATTAAAGATTTTATTTTTAATTCGATATTATAAAATGTTAATATCACATAAATGTTCACATTCTGATCATCTTATAAGTAGCCTTATTTTTCAATTACTTCTTATAATTCAATTTTTATTCATATGACAATCTCTCACATTTTGTAAATAAAGCAAAAAAATACTAAAGTTTAGGGAAAGAAAATTATGAAAAAATGTGATAAAACCCCAAGATTAATTGGTCATTAATTATACATTTTTCTTTTCCACACTTGAAACACGTTAGCCTCCTGGGTGCTCATTTATTAGATGTCAAGATGCTCAATGCTAATAGCTATTTATTATCAATTGTACAGAGCAAACAGGCAGAACAAAACATTATCCCGCTAACAGGTTGAAGCCAGTGGTGGGGTCTTAATTCACTTACCACAATTGTCTCCTGCTGGATAATGGTAGAAGGAAATTAAACACTAGCAGAAGTGGCTTAAAGCATGAAGTATAAGTGAAAAAAAATGAAACAATTAACATGTCAGTCAATTGTCTTTATTCATAGAATGTGTAAATTAGATTAAAATTTAAAACCAGCCATGATGCTTTGTTATACACAGGAATTTTTTAAATATACTTATTCTGAGATGCTTTTTCACTACAGGATTTTATTTTAGCCACCTAATATTTCTAATCCCAAAACTAATCATTGCAATCTTAATATAGTATTGAGTAATTCGTATTGTATTCAAAAAGAGGATTTAGATAGGCTGCCATTTGCAAATAGCTGGAGTTTCTTATTGACTCAACGTTCGATCTTGGCCAGTGATGTCCAACATATTACTGAGTTAAACTTTATTTATTTTGTTGAGTCATATTATATCTAAATAATTATGAAATTTAACAGAATCCAAGAAGTTCTCTGGCAGGCCATGGCCTAAAAAGCAAGTGTTTTGAGGTCCGTATCTGGCCATTGCCAGTTGGTTGATTATGCCCATAATGTATGTCTTTTTTTTTTCTTTTCATTTTGTGTTTTATTAGCAGTAATACATGCAAAATACAACTTTTCCCCATCTGGAAATAATTTAACGAGTATGAGACAATACACTGGTTGTAGTTATAGAAATGTAAGCTGCTCAGCATCCTGTGTAAATCTTATATCAAAGGAAAGATTACACATGGTAGATTATGTACTGTGGTAAACACAGTGGACATATTAATTTAATAAATATTGCTTTTTTAAGGTATTAGGGTATAAAAAGCAAGAGTGGGACTATAAAAAGAGCATCAGTCTCCCAGGTGTGGCAACCTGCTAAGACCTGGAGGATAACCTGCGGATTGTACTCCCATGCAGTCCCATGTGTTGTTTCGAACTGTCCTCTCCAGATCTGTTAGCCTCCGGAGGTATTTCCACATTGCTGCTGCCGCCTCCTGCAAACTGCATGTCAAGCTTAGAGTACAGAGAAATGCCTCAATGTCATCAGCTGAGGTGAGGCTTAAGGACTCTTCTCCGCATGGGACCACAAGTGCAATTTGATGAATTGCTCTCTTAGTCTTCTGGCGATAGGAATCAGTCCTCTTCTCCGTGAGGACGAAGAATGGCAGATCACTGTATAAAGTGATTGAGAGGCACTTGCCCAGCTCTCTAAAGTGTTTTAGTATGGTGGTTCTTGCCACCATCTCTCCGGTGACAGCTATTATGTCTCTTAGTGCTGCCACAGGGGCACTGGCAGACTTGCGCATGTGGAATACCGATGTTATGTATGGGATTTCAGAGCCCCCTTTGATGCACATGGAGGCTATGGGAGCAGATCTTCTCCTCCCACCTTCAGGCACCCCTCTGAGATGTACATTGCAGCACCGGTGTCGGGTCTCCAAGGAGAGCACTGTTTGTTAAGCAGGTGGACCTGGTTAGTGAACCCCTTTAGTTGGTTCTTGGTGTCTCTGAGAAGGTGGTCTCTTGAGGCCTCCCTCTCCATTACCCGTCGTACCTTCTTTCTAACATCGCTGATCTCAGCTTTGGTCTCTTGAAGGTCCTGCTTTCCAGACTTGCTGCAGATCAATGAGCAGCCGTTTTATGTCGCCTTTCGTGAAAGGGGAAGAGTCAACATGAGATTTGGATGGCTGGTATACTCCTCCTGGGCGAGAAGAGGTAAGGATTCTCTGTCCTCAATGGAGTCCTCTAAGCTCTCTGGGACGTAGTGGACCTCAGGCGCATCTTGGATGGTGGTGGCAGTGCAGGCCTCATTTTTAGCAACTAATCTTTAATTTGTGGTTCTTCTGGTGTGGACATCCTCTACTTTACTTCTGCAGTACCATTGTAGAAATTTTTAGCCTTTTATACAAGATAATCATGTTGAATCCAGCCAAAGGCAATGTGCACCACCTACGTAATAAGGACTAGTGTGGGTATTCTTAATGCCTTGAGTAACTGAGCAACTGAGCGATACTCTCTGCTGTTAATCAGTGCTTAACCTAAGGAAAGATGGCACTGACAGTATTGTCATTTTATAATTGATATTGACTGTCCTAACAGCCTTGAATATCTAGTATCAGGTATTTAAAGAATCTACCTCCATTTTTTTCTTTACAAATTTGCAGAGTTACACTCTGAAGGTGTTACAAACCTAACAACGAAAAAAGGGCAAAACGTAGAGTAGAGGGGCACCAACCAAGGAAAGGTGACCAAATCACACCCTTTCAAATAACTGGACTTTGCTTGTTCTGATTCATTACCTGAGGTGGGTTTTGTCATACCTAGAGGTTTTAAATCTTGGATGACAAATAGATAGGATGACCTGGCCATTGAGAACAAATATATTTTATTGTTTGTCTTGTTATATCCTTCATTTTTGTTTTATGTGCTTATCCCTTCCATGATTATACTTACCTAATCATTTTGGATGATCAGAACATCTTTACATTTGTATGTTATTTATTCGATGGTCCATCTTAATGAAGACAAACCAACCTTTCTCTGTGCTTATTCACAAAGCCTAGAGAAAGAAAGCATAGCTAATAAATGATTATGTGCCTGTGCATCTATAAGTAGATATTTACCAAAATCATGCTCATATCATGGTAAATATGTTTATTTCAGACTAATAACCTGCGTCATATGAATAATACTGAATAATAATATATAATATATTATAATAATAATAAAAAATATATACATTTTAATTTAGTCATATTTTTTTACATAGTCAACTTTGCATCACAGAGAATTGTGCAAGTTAATTTTTCTAGTCTAGTATAATCATACTATATAGTTGTGTATTTTATTTTCAATAAAAGATTTTAAACCAGATTAAAATATATAATTTGAAGTATATAAACGGCAATATATGCCTATGTATATTAAATTGTCAGGTAGAAACCAAGAGGTGGTTAGAATTGTGTTTATTTTTTCCAGGGAAAAATGCATTTTGTAACTAACAGGGTTATTCACTAAAGTGAAAATTCAAGGTAAATTCTAAGCGAATTTCGAATTTTAAGGTAAAAATGGTTAGCTTTGGAAACATTTTTCTAAGTTAGCTATACTTTCAGTTTGCTACTCTGGTCTTAAATCTAAAACTCACTTTGAATTCTTACTTCAGTAAATAACTCTGTAAAGAGTTTTTAGGTTTCTTTACTTTGTGGTTGAAGTTCCCACTCTTTCTTCTGTCCAAACTGGTGTGCCCAAATTGTGTGTCCGTGTGTAGGGCCATACAGGGCTGAGATCACCAACTACCACTCTAAAATGGTTGACAAACTACACCAAGATGGCTTCAGGGCAGTCCTAACCATTACAGTTTGTTATTGGGGTTATGGTGCTTAGAGTGTTCCTTTGATTTCCAGCTTTCTCATCCTATCTTAATGTCTACCATATCATCTTCAGGTTCCCATCTAATTGCAAGTCCTCTATTCCATCTTCTGTAGTTCCCCTTATAGTTAATCCAATACTACATCTCCTCATCTGACAATTGTATCCATTCCTTCATGTCATCTCCAAACAGATATCTCATTTACAGAACCCAGGTTTTATCTACTTATTGTCATCCTATCTCCAACCTTCTCATTTTTATCTCCATTTCCCACTTTGATATCTAGTTCCCGATTTGAATTTCCCATTTCATTGACATTCCTACACTCCATGTAATTTCCAGATCAAGTGCGTCATCTTTTTCTACATGTTATATATGTGCTAATACTCCCTGTTTATTCCCAGCCCTCTTATCATAATGCAAGCTCCATTATTCCTTTTAGAAAGTAGGGATGTGCATGGGGAAAAAATTCGGTTTGGCATTCCGAAATTCGGGACTTCGGCACTTCGGAACTTCTGCACTTCGACACTTCAGAATTTCGGAACTTCTGACCTTCGGGACTTCGGAATTTCGTGACTTTGGATGTTCTCTTGCAGCCGCTTAGTAGATAACTCCCTAATTCCCACGGTATTAGGGCGCTATCTACCAAAAGGCTGAAAAACCTAAATTGGTCTTAAAATGACTTAGTATTAGTACATTCTGCCCCTACTTGCCATACCGCGAGTAGGGGCATGTCTATTAAACAGTGAGCAGCCTTAAAAAAAAAAAAAAAAACGGGGCCCCCCTCCCGAGCCCCCACCCTGTAATTTGACTCAGAACAACACTCTGATTGGTTCATTGAAAGTAACCAATCAGAGAGTTATGAGTCAAATTACACAGCGTGGGAAAATTCCAAAGAACTTTCCCACGCTGTGTAAAATGACAGAGCACAATGATTGGCTGGATTTCAAGCTAACCAATCAGAGTGCTGTGACAGGTAAATGTAGAGACTTACCTGTCAGTCTCTTCATTTACCTGTCAGAGCACTCTGATTGGATGGCTTAAACCAACGAACCAGAGTGCTCTGAGCCTAATTGCAGGGCAGGGCAAGGCATTATAGCCCTTCCCCCACCCTGCGGAGCTCAGTCTTCACGGTGCCCTCCATGGGTGAACATGGATTATTTTTTCGGCATCAGGGTTTTTTTTCTGTTGTATGTTTTTTGCGCTCTGTTTTTTTTTTTTTTCAAGTGCCATGGATATTATGTTTTTTTATTTGGCTTTTTCTGGGGCTGAAAAAATAATATTTTAGAAAAAAGAAGACATCAAATGGTAAGTTTTATATCTTTTTTTTACAGGTACTTAGTTATTGTTCCCCCCTCACTATTTTTAGGGTAAGGGGGAAGGTAGGGATTTAAATATTTTTTTTAAGAGGGGGTGACTATGGGATAGGGGATTCCTTGTCACCTGGGGGGGCATTTTTATCTAGGGCCCCCACTCGCCGCTCAGGCGTGGGGGCAGGGGGGAGGACAATAGGTCCCCCACCTTTTATTAAAAGGAGGACAATATGTCCACCACCTTTTATTAAACCAACGAAAGAGGACAATAGGTCCCCCCCTTTATTATTATTATTATTATTATTTTATTGTTTATACAGCGCCAACAAATTCCGCTGTACAATGGGTGGGCTAACAGACACATAATTGAGATCAGACCACTGACGTACAGGAACAGAGGGGGTTGAGGACCCTGCTCGATGAGCTTACATGCTAGAGGGAGTGGGGTATAGTGACACAAAGGGTTAAAGTAGGGGAATTAAATAGTTTGTTACAAAAGGGTTTATTGAATGCTTGGTAGGTCATTTTTGACAGGTGCAGGAATGGAGTCATGGGGTGGGGGATGAGAAACCTGCTGACAGTTTAATTGATACGCTTTAATGAAAAAGTGAGTTTTCAAAGATTTTTTGAAGGAATGGAGGCTGGGTGAAAGTCTGATTGAGGAGGGAAGGGAGTTCCACAGAATAGGTGCAGCCCTGGAGAAGTCTTGAAGGCGAGCATCAGAGGTGGGGATCCGGGCAGAGGATAGGCGTAGGTCTTGGGCTGAGCGCAGGGGTCTCGACGGGACATACTTGTGTATGAGGGAGGATAGCTATGTTGGAGCAGCATTATGTAGGGATTTGTAAGAAAGCACCAGAATTTTGAATTGGGCCCTATATCTAACTGGAAGCCAATGCAGGGACTGACAGAGCGTGGAGGCGTGGGAGATGCGACCGGACAGTAAAATAAGCCTCGCAGCCATATTCATTATAGATTGCAGTGGTGCAAGCTGGGAACATGTAAGACCGGTGAGAAGGGGATTGCAATAGCCAAGGCGAGAGAGAACAACAGTATGAACCAGTACCTTGGCCACGTCCGGCGTTAGATATGGGCGGATGCGCGCAATGTTCTTGAGTTGGAAGCGACAGGATTTGGCTATCGATTGAACATGGGGAGTAAAAGAGAGATCAGAATCAAAAAGAACCCCTAGGCAGCGAGCCTGGGAGATAGAGGTGATAGTAGCGCCGTTGACTTGGATGGAGACAGACACAGGAGTAGCAGCACTTGAGGGAGGAAAAACTACAAGTTCTGTTTTGGACAGGTGGGGTTTAAGGAAGTGAGCAGCCATCCAGTTGGAAATAGCAGAGAGGCAGTCAGAAACACGAGTCAAGGTGGGCGGAGAGAGATCAGGGGAGGACAGGTAGATTTGCGTGTCATCTGCATATAAATGGTATTGGACGCCAAAAGAGCTGATGAGTTTACCAAGGAAGGCAGTATAGATAGAGAACAGTAGGGGGCCGAGGACAGAACCTTGGGGGACGCCGACAGGGAGGGGTTGGGGAGAAGAGGCAGAGCCAGAGAAAGAAACACTGAAGGAGCGCTGGGAGAGGTAGGAGGAGCACCAGGAGAGAGCAGTATCCCGTAGACCAAAGTTACGGAGAATGTGAAGAAGCTGTTGATGATCAACAGTGTCAAAGGCGGCAGAAAGATCAAGGAGGATTAGGATAGAGTATTGGCCGTGAGATTTAGCAGCAATTAAATCGTTGGATACTTTGGTCACAGCAGTTTCGACAGAGTGACCAGTGCGGAATCCAGACTGAAGGGTGTCAAGCAGAGAGTTGGTTTCAAGAAAATCTGTCAATCTGGCGTAGACAACTCTCTCGAGGATCTTGGAGGCAAATGGCAGTAGCGAGATAAGGCGGTAGTTGGATGGGGAGTTGGGATCAAGGTTGGGCTTTTTCAGAATTGGGGTTACGGTTGCATGTTTGAAGGCAGAGGGAAATGTGCCAGAGGAAAGGGAGAGATTGAAAATGTTAGCGAGAGCAAGAGCAAGAGCAAGAGAGGGAGACAAAGTGCGGATGAGATGCGAGGGAATAGGATCGAGGGAGCAGGTGGTGGGGCGGGAGGACAGGAGCAGAGCAGAAACCTCTTGTGCTGTAGCAGGTGCAAATGAGCTTAGGATGGCAGGGGGAGTGGGGTTGGGTGATGTATTGATACTGGTTGGAGAAAGATTAGAGATCTATTTCCTGATTGTAGAGATCTTCTCAGTGAAATGAGATGCAAAGTTTGTAGCGGACAAAGTGGTGGAAGGAGGGGGAGTCACAGGGCGAAGAAGTGCATCAAAAGTGTGAAACAGGTGTTTGGGTTGGTGGGACAGTGTGCTTATGAGGGTGTTGAAGTAGCTTACTTTTGCAGAGGAAAGAGCCATGCTGTAGGAGCGCAGCATAAATTTATAGTGGACAAAGTCAGATGCAAAGTGAGACTTTCTCCAGCAGCGTTCAGCAGTTCTGGAACATTTTTGGAGGTAACGGGTCAGCTTGGTGTGCCAGGGTTGTAGTTGGGGGCGCTTGCTGCGTTTAACTGTAGGAGGTGCCATGATGTCAAGTTGAGAGGAGAGAGTGGAGTTGTAGAGTGAGGTTGCAGAGTCAGGGCAGTTGTGATTTGAGATGGGTAAAAGGAGTGTTTGGAGTTTAGTGGAGAAGTGCTGGAGATCGAGAGAGTTGAGGTTTCTGCGAGGTTGGAGAGTGGATGGTGGTGAGATTTTCGTATGGGGTATGCAGATGTTAAATGTTAGCAGATGGTGGTCAGACAAAGGAAATGGAGCAGTGGCGAGATCAGAGGTGGTACAGAGATTGGTGAAGATGAGGTCAAGAGTGTTTCCTGCAGTGTGAGTTGCTGAGAAAGAAATCTGTGTGAGTCCAAAGGAGGAGGTTACAGAGAGCAGACTAGAGGCATCAGGGCAGTTGAGCTTGTTGATAGGGATATTGAAGTCCCCAAGTATGAGAGAGGGAGTGCTAGAGGAAAGAAAGTGGGGTAACCAGGAGGAAAAGTGTTCAATGAATAGTTTAGGGTGACCAGGGGGGCGATAGATGATGGCAATTCTTAAAGGAGTGGGCTTAAAAAGGCGTACAGTGTGAACTTCAAAGGAAGTAAAGGATAGGGCAGGGGCAGGGAGGATAGGTTGAAAGGTACATTGAGGGGAGAGAAGGATGCCTACACCACCTCCTTTACAGTCGAGTCTAGGAGTATGGGAGAACTGTAGACCACCGAAACATAAAGAAGCAGGAGTAGCGGTATCGGATGGAGATAGCCAGGTCTCAGTGAGTGCCAGTATTGTGAGAGAGTTAGAGATGAGGAGGTCATGTATAGCTGTAGATTTGATATTACTACAAATGGAGCGAGCATTCCAGAGTGCACACTGAATTTTGGTAGAGGAGGATAGACTGCAGGGTATTTGGAGGAGGTTAGCATGGTTTCTGGTTATTTTAGTGTGAGCAGATGAGGTGAGGGGCCCTGGGTTGGGAGAGACGTCACCAGCTGCCAGAAGTAGGAGGAGAGATAGAGACAGGAGGTGTGAATGGGTTTTATATGGGCGGCGACAGAGCACTGTTCAGGTTTGCTAGAAGTGGTCTTTTAAAACTCAGACTGTGGAAGACAGAGATGATAGGGTCAAAACAGGACTGCAATAAAAGCTATGGAATGGAGATGCACAGAGGAGGTGAGGATTGGTCAAGCAAGACATTCAGGTGGGTATCAATAAAATAAGGGGGGGGAGAAGAAATAACAGAGAAAATCTTTAGAGATAAGTAGGATGTTGAATAACATTTAAGTTAACAAAACCAATGATGAGCAGGGCAGGGAGCAACTAGCTTTAGCATGCAGGACAAGACAAACTGCAGAATATATGTGTGTATGAGCAAACACACACACACACACACACACGTCCAGTTAAGATACAATGAGATATATAGTTTAAAAATATGCAAGGGGTTAAAATTCAATACAATTATAGTGTCCAGTATTAAGGGTAGATAGTTTCCTCCATAGTCTACCTTGCAGAAACTCAGACATGTATAAGGCCTTTTCCTTCCAGCTGTAGGTGATCTGAGCACTGTTCAGGTTTGCAAGAAGTGGTCTTTTAAAACTCAGACTTGCAGAAACTCAGACATGCATAAGGCCTTTTCCTTCCAGCTGTAGGTGATCTGAGCACTGTTCAGGTTTGCTAGAAGTGGTCTTTATTTTACTTTAGGGCCCCCATCCGCCGCTCAGGGGTGGGGGCCAGGGGGGAGAACAATAGGTCCCCCCTTTCAAGTAATTTAGGGCCCCCACCCACCACTTAGGTGTGGGGGCGGGGGGAGGACAATAGGTCCCCCCCTTTTACTTTAGGGCCCCCACCCACCGCTCAGGTCCAAGTTAGTGCGGTGTCCTTTACATTATTGAACCAATATTAATTTTAGACATCTCCAGCTCCCTATTTCATAAACATTTCCCCATTTCATGCACAGTTCTACTATGTCTCCTTGTACAGTGCTATGGAACTTGCTGGCGCTATATAAATAATAAAATAATAATATCATCTCCTATCGTATCTGTTCCAGTATTGAGGATGCATGCAGCCCCTTTCTTCTTCCACTCATGCACTGTATACCTATCATCTTACATCCTTTTCCTTGACACCATCTAACATCCAAGCTCTCCTCCATGAGCTCATCCCCCACAACACACATCCCACCCCCTTTGGACCTCAATACCCTGCTTGCTCTGGTGGTATATCCTGAAGGTGACTTGTTGTAGTATAATTTGGTTGACAGTGTGATACTGCACCAGCCTGATTCAGATTTATCAGGACTGCACAATCTCATGCAAGGTCAGCTCATATTTAGTGTTACTGTGGTTGCACAAGGAATCTCTGATCCACCATAACAATACCATCAGGGGTGCACATATGTACCCTTAAGCTGTAACAAAATGGAATCAAATATCCTATTTTTAACAAACTCTCCCTCATACCAGTGCATGTCTCCTACATACCACATATAGAATATATAACAAAGAAAACCAATATATCTATATTTTAAAGAGCAACTGTCTGTACACCATTGAATAAAACATTGATGTGAAAGTCACCTTTAACTTATGTTAAAAAAAAGATATACTCAGTTTATATTAAAGAGTTAGCAAATTACATCATCATTCAGCAAAAATAATACATATGGAGTGAAAGGAAGCTCCTATATGGCTGTAAGTATGAGGTGTGTCAGTATAAGGGGTATCAGTATGAGGGGTGTCAGTATAAGGGGTATCAGTATGAAGGGTGTCAGTATGAAGGGTGTCAGTAGAGGCGGTGTCAGTATAAGGGTTGTCAGTATGAGGGGTAACAGTATGAGGGGTGTCAGTATGAGGGGTAACAGTATGAAGGGTATCAGTATGAAGGGTATCAGTATGAAGGGTGTCAGTATGAGTGGTGTCAGTATGAGTGGTGTCAGGATGAGGGGTGTCAGTATAAGGGGTATCAGTATGAGGGGTGTCAATATAAGGGGTATCAGTATAAGGGGTATCAGTATGAGGGGTATCAGTATGAGGGGTGTCAATAATAACACATTTACAATGTAAGGCACTCCCACACAAGGCAAACAATTCCTCCCCTCTGCTTGGGAGATAATTGAGTTAATTACTGTATCAACTCAATTATCTCCAGGCATCTCCACACATTTCAAAAAAGACCCAAAAGTACCCAATAACACAACACATCCTCTGATAGCCCTGGGTGAACAACATATCCAGAAATCACCCAGATCAGAGCAGAGGTTCAGGAATTCCTGGAAGTTTCTTTTTGACCGACCGCACGCATGGTTTCATGCCCAAAACAGTTCCAGAGAATCAGGCTGTGCGGCCGGTCTGTTTAAAATAGTCAAAGTACCGTTCGAATTACTCTTGTCTCTTGTTCTGGGGCATCTTCTTACCGAACGCCGTTCGACTCCCGATCTTCCATGAAAGGTAAAGTTTTAGCGATGTTCGTGCCATCGAGTGTCCGATTTGAGTCTCAACGACCAAACAAGATGGCCACAAATGGCGGCCACTTCGACTGTTCAGGAGTTCAAAAGTTCAAATGGTTACTGTCTAAGCCCAAACAGGCACACACAGAGACTTTAACATTATATCTCACCAGGTCCATAGTCTGTGGGCATGAGGCTGGCAAGCAGGCCCCTCCAAGAACTCGTGGCAAACTCACTTGAAAAGGGGAGTTTGTCACATCAACCATGTAGGCAGAACATGAAGGTGAGATTTTACTATATTTGATAGGGCAAGATAGTGGTTTTTAAACACTATAGGGTCAGGAATACATGTTTGTGTCCCTGACCCTACAGTGTTCCTTTAATATCATTAGCATACTACATGCAGGCTGTCAAATGCTTTTAGTGGCAAAAGTCTCAGTAAGGAATGTAGTGTGCAGAAAGTCTATTTTGTCTAGTTCGTTGATAGATTTGGGATTTTGTAGTCCCTGAATAGACATTTCTGTGTCTGTTATTTGAATTGTTATCCGTCTGCTTTCTATTTATGAGATGCTGTTTCTGTATATTTTCTTCCGCGGCAGCAAACTATTTCATTTTCATTCCTAATGTTTTTTATAGTTTGGTAACGTGGTACATCAAAAGATCTTGTTTTTGAAAGAGTTAAAATATGAAGAAGAAGACTCCTTGGCCTCAAATCTGATCTAACTTGATTTGTACAAGTAATATAATACTGGCGGGCTTAGAAAATGTCTTAATTCATACACTGAGGTCTCTTAACGCACATTAGTGCCCCCATTGTAGCCCTTCACAAACCATTATTTCTCTAGCCACATGCCGTTAATTCAGTCTCTATTGATTACGAGCTTTGCAATCCTGTCTGCAGCGCTCAACAGATACCTTGGGTGTTAAAGGAAAAGTTCCACTCTTGAAACCATTATGTTGCCTTTTTAAATATTTATGAAGAAAAATTGCAGTCAAAAGATATTATTTATTTCCCCTTTAAGATGCCAAGTTTGCAGTCTAATTAGCAGAAAATGCATTTAAAGGGACTCTATGACAACCATAACAACATCATCAAAATAAATTTGTTATGCTGCCAAGAGGTCCCTGGCGCACCCTTACCTTTAAGGGTTAAACACACACTATAGTCACCAGAACAACTACAGCTTATTATATTTATTCTGGTGAGTATGATCATTCCCTTCAGACTTTTTGCAGTAAACACTGTCAGAGATAATGCAGTGTTTGCATTACAGCCTATCAGGGCCGGACTGGGAAAAAAATTAGGCCCGGGCATTTTTCAATCAGAGCGGCCCCCTACGAAGGGGGCGGGGCCAGAGAGTGTGTGTTTTGTCATCACTAATGACAAGCACGCCCCCTCTCAAAGTGAGCATGTTGGTTCAATGCCCAGAGCCCTGCTGAAGAGCTCTGGCATCAGAAAAAGGCCCTGAATTTGTTCTGCGCTGCGCAAGCAAATTTAATAACATGCTTGC